CTTCCTTTCTTCAACGCGCTCTCAAAAAGGATAGAAAGCTCATTTTCCTGTCCCTCGGATTTGAGCTGACTTGTCACGTTCACTCGACGCGGGATGAACATATTGTCAGATTTGAGAATCTCGTTTCCGTTGAGGAAGACAGTGGCAAAGGTATCCAGCCCCTCAAACAGCAAATCAGCAACTCGAGAGTTGTCAAGGCCCTTGGGGGTTGGGAAAGAGCAGGAATACTCCCAGTCCATTTCGCCAACCCACTGGATCTGACGCTCATTTTCGCCCACGTTGGGATCCGGGATGATCTTCTTAGCCAGGAGTTCCATTTGGATAACCGACGGGAAAGCAGTGACCGGTGCCCAAGACTTGAGGTCTGGAATGTCGTCTGCTTTCGATATGCCATTTGCATTGGCCAGACGCCATTTCCACCCCGTGGCCAGTTCATGTCGCTGCTTCATTGCCATTTCGACGTAGTAGCGAGATGGCTGGGAAGAAAACAGCCAGAGTGGCTGGTCTCAAAGTTATAGAGCAGCCTTGTTATTATGAGCCAGAATTATACAGCCATTGTGTCAGCTGAATCGAGTCGAACTCAATCAGATGCCGTGACATGCATAACTCTTTCCCCACTTTACTTTCCATTCTGGGCCAGTGTTCTCACCGGGTTGAGGACGTATTGCGGTGAATCTCTCGCAGGGTTGGATCTCTGAGCGTCTGCCGAGGGTGCAACATGCCGTACTGACGGAGGCGGAGACATGTGTGTATGCGGGCATATATACTCCCGGACTGTATCCGCACTTGACGGCAGTACATATCTCCTCCAATCAACGAAAGACGGCATCGAGGTCTCGGCAGCTCAAAGCCACGTCGAACCTTTGACGTCGACAACTCCTGTTTGCAGTGTTGGGAGCTCAAGGACCTTTCACGGAGAGGTGGTTTGAACTTTCTGAATCTCAATCCACTCAAGCAAACATCACCCAGAGATATGCTCTTCCGAGACAGCAATTGGACGACAGCAGATCTCCAACCAATGCAAACCCAAGTGATCTGCCAATCTTCCACAACGAAGCTGAGGGAAGTGTTTAATTGTTTCGTGTGACGGCTTTTGGACGATGCATACAGGAGTTGAGTTGAACGGCTCGGTCGTCGCTTGACTTCAGCCCTCGGGCCTGTGTCACTATAACGAACTCACTCGACTCCTCAGGGAGTTTTCCATTTGGACGCCTCCCGTGTTTAGTGCCAAGCTCTTACTCTGAACTAGGTCGTTCACTGCAATTGTGTCGGATGTGAGGTTTAGAACTGAAACTTTTCACCTGCATTGGCGAAGAGCGGCGCCTGGCGGTTTGTTGAACAAGTGGCTGACGAATAGACGCAAAGCGGCAGCATGATTGAACACGCAATCGAAGCTGACACGAAGTACTGCATTCATGCCGAGTTCGTTGCTCTTCCCGGACGGCGAGATAGGAGCGATCATCCGCGAACTCCCGTATGCTCCATTTGCTGCCTGCTTAGGATAAGTGCTGGTGGACCTTTGGTCCTTGTGATGAGACTGTCCCATGCAAATGGCTCCTGGGAAATATGAAAAGCCGCCCGAGCTCATAACCGGCAGGAAGATGGTTGGATCACATCAAACAGATCCGAGAAAACAGAATGCCAGTCTTTGGGTGAACGCCCCTTGTGAGGACCTCCATGATGTGAGTCTTGCGCACTTGAAAACCTGATCAGCCCGGCCTCACGACAGGCCATCCAGGGTACCGTCACCTCCCCTCGTGAGCCTGGCAGTACAGCCCCGTGTTCAGCCTGCAGTACGGCCAGGGTGTCCTCGAATCCATGCACCCACGACCTCAAGGATCAGGAAGAGGGTACCAGTTCAGCTGTTGATCTCCAAACGAAAGATCATAATCAAACCACTCCAGGAATGGACCCGGCGCGGTGACGTCCTGTCCGTCAAAATTCATCAAGTCCATTGCGGTCTCCGATCTTGCATTGGCCAGAAAATCTGCATATTGGTCGATGTCAGCTGCATACTGAGAATCTTCGTTATTCCAAGATATCACGCCGTCTCGCAATGCCTCGACAATGCTGCCATATCTGTCCGCTGGCCTTGTATGAGGAGCCATATCTTTGAATGCACGAATAGCACCGTCCAGACTCTGTTTCCACCCATTGACTGCGGCTTCGCCAAATAGACTCAATTTCTTTGCCACAGCAATAGAAATCAGGGGAATCAGACAAGCTTGGAAAAGCGCAAAGGTCGAGTGCCAGACCGAAACCCTATCGTGATGAAGGCCCGAGCAGATCAGGTCGATAACTTCACTCGCTGAATTCTGGCAGAGTGATACTACCTTCCAGTCCTCGTCTGTGAATGCATTGTGCGCCATGGCGTCGTCTGCCAACCGCAGCAGATGCGGTCGAGACAACAGGACGCGTACCCCCAAAAATCGATACATCATGGTCTCCCGACTCAGCCAGAATCTTTTTGGACACGAATTCTCCGACAAGAACCGAAAGTGATGGGATTTACTCCAAATTTCGAGTTCGTCGCTGAAGGCAAAAATCTCCCGAGGTGTAATGTATGACAACTGGGCCATTCGATCTCCTATCCTTTGAGCGATTATGCAAAACTCGGCAGTCACGCGGAGAGCTATGCCATGCCAATCTCTGTCCTCGGACTCGTTGTGTCTCTGCCGTGCAACGCTCTCTAGCCGCGCAGAGGTTGAAGAGAGCTTTGTAGAAGGCCAAGCAGTGTCCATTGTGAGCGGATCCCATCTTCCAACCCTGGGACGGTGCAACAACAATCCTTGCCAGGCGTTTCCAGCGATCATACACCACCAAGTTCTTCGTCTGACTTCGGCTCGAGCCAGTGCTAAAGCTTCTTCCTCGGGCGTCTGGCCGAGTTTTGTCGTCTTTGCTGGCTCACGATGTAAGCCAATCGCAATAGCCATCCGGAATGCGGTCCCCATGACTAAGAATGCGGTGTTTGGCGAGTTGATGTAGTACAAGTACAGCGCGCTCAAGAGAACCAGCGCCTGTAGCATTTCCAGATTTCCCGAGGTAAATATGTTGTAACCAAGGAGATTCCGCGCTCGTTCGTGGTAAGCGAAGTGTGATTGATCGTCCCCTGCTGCAATGGAACCTAATGCAAGGACCATGTTTGAGAGCGCCTTCCACCCGTCATCTGTGCGTTCCTGGCTCGAGAACTCATCCCGAAAGCGACTCTCGTCCACCATTGGGATCAGGGCGTGGATCTGCTCGAAATACGCGTCGATGGCCATCTGTTGTGCAGACGACAAGGATGGAAGTGTGGAGGATACAGGGGCGACATGATGCGCAGCCCGCGCGGGCTCTTTGCTCGAACTCCGAACGACTAGTTGCTTTGGTTTCTGAAATGCCGACTGTCCAAGATCCAAGAACGATTGTTTTGCAGAGGGGCAGACGCTGAAGAACACATGCAGAAAAGCACCAGTCGAGGAAACGCGCGGATATGAGCCCGGATGTTGGTGGATGATGATGCCGTTGACAGCGTCGCCAACTGGTGGCTCCGGACCTTCCTCGTCCTGAGCCTCATTCCATTCCTCATCTGCAGCGATGTCGTTGAGGGATTGCAAAGCTTCTGGAACCTCATTGGCGACAGCACCATCAGCAGCTGGTGAAGGTGTCTGGGTATCAACCTCATTACTGATCAATCGGATGACACTCTCTCGAGACAGGCCCGGCAGGCTGTCAAAGTCCACTGCCGGCAAAAGCTGCTTGATGATCTGGTTGCGAGCGGTCAGAGCGTCATTCAACTGGTCAATTGTTCTACACAGCCCGCAGTTAGATGGTGTCGCAAAGTCACAAGAGGCCACAACTCACTTCCAGGAGGGATTCGTTCTCCGCTGTCGCTTCCTGTAGCTACACCTCGATTCTAAAGAATGTTTTCGACAATTTTGGCAGGGTAACGTGCCATCGCACTTGATCTTCCTCCTCGTGCATTCAACGCAAGCACGATTGGTCCTTCGAGGCTCAGGGCCGCTGTGCTGCCTCTGCGGGTTCTGGGCCGTAGCGGAGAAGGTGAGATCGCTAGAGCCATCCATAATGCACTGTCTGAGGCTAGTTCTTTGCTGGCATTCAATGTCAACCGCCCAAATTCATCAGGTTGATTGGAAGGGGTTCCGTCCGATGATGTGGCTGTGTAGTATGATGACTCTGGGTGACCAAGTTGTCTCGACAAATTTTGTAGCGCAGCGTACCCTTGCAACCCTACAAGCCAGTCGGTTTCTAGCCTGGACAAAAGCCTCCGAGGGAAATCAATGGATCTAAGGGAGGTCAGGTATACGGTGCGCCGTAGCTGGGTGGGTGTGCTGCACGGTGCAGGAGAAAGATGAGGGACGCCATAGAAAAGAACAAGTCAGGCTGGTCCGATAGAGACTAGGGTTTGTACGTAGTGTGCCGTAGGTGGTATAGGCGGCGCCCTTGTGGTTTGTGGTGAGGGTTGGAGGGTGACAGTGTCCCGTGCTTGGCGCAGTCAATGCATATCTTGAGCATAGTCATCTACCAAGCCTGCAAGCCTAGGTAAGTTAGGCATCGCAGGTAAGCATTAAATCACTCTCCGCACCCCTACAAAGGCACTTTACCGAGAACTCATCAGGCACCCATTCCCGACAAATAATACACGGACAGTCCTTACCCGAGATCACGCTTGAGACTGACCTGCGGAGCAATTCGCACGAGTTTCTGACGCCGAAGCTGTCCATTACAATGTCCAAGGCACACGTTACTGAGGCACTCTAACTTAGTTATTTGGGTTGGCGCTGGAAGAGATGGCAATAAGAGTAGCAAGAGATGCTTGAACTTCCTGCGGTTCATTGAGACTTTGTGCACCAAAGCCGGCCCAAGGAGCACCACCTTCTTCCACACAGAGCTATAGACAGCCAATGCGTACTCAAGCTCTACCTCTATCAAAGTGTAATGCGCCCAACAAGGCAATTCCTCTATGCAAAGACTTCACACGGTCGGATTATTACCTTGTTTCAGACGCAACTGACAAGCAACTCTGCAGCCTTCTCCCCAATGGCATACGCTGGCATCTGCGTGTGTCCACCGTTCAGACTCGGCATGATGCTGCAGTCGGCAACCATCAAACCCTTGACGCCCCTGACACGCAGCTTCTCGTCCACTACAGCCATCGTATCGCCATCCTTCCCCATGCGACACGTGCCCGCCGGGTGGTGCGCCGTGGCGCTGTACTGACGCACATACGGCTCCCAGTCTTCCCTGGTAGTTTCGGGCCCCAAGGCCGCGTACTTCGGACCCGCCATCCACACGCCCGGGGCGATGATGTCCTTGGTGCCAGATCCGGTTGTCACGATCGAGTGTGCAAAGCGCACGCCTTCGGCCAACATGAGCAGATCGAGAGGATCGGATAGGTAGCGAGGGTCGATGATTGGCTTGTCGTGCGGGTTCGTGGAGCGCAGGGTGACTGTGCCGCGGCTCTGTTGGCTAAACAGCAGTGTCATCATCTCGAAGCCGTACTTCCCCTCCAAGGGAATGGGATATCCGTGAACGTGGCCTGAATACAACTCGGTGTGCATGTATTCGACGTGAGCCTGCTCGGCTGTGAGGTCAGCAGCATCTCGTGTCGACCCAGACGTCGCGGCGGATCTCTCGCGCCACAAAGACGACGAGTTCAACCCGTCGTCGAGTCGCGCCAGCGCAAAGATGCCAAAGGGAAATGTGGAAAAGAAGCCAGATTGAGAGCTCTGGTAGGTTGCCAGGGAATTTGCGAAACCGTTGGCGTGGTGGATGAATCGGTCGTTGGTGAGGTCCGGCTGCGTGACTTCGTAGGGGACAAACACGACCTTAGGAGCAATTAGACAAGACTTTTCTCGTCAAGGAATGGAAATGCGGCTTGCCAGATGGTCTTGGAAGTTTTTACCCACGCCCGGAGAATCGACTATACAATCGACGCCGAGCTGTGCGAGCTCATCTTTTGGGCCGATGCCAGATCGAAGCAGAATGGTTGGCGAGCAGTACGCACCTGCAGACGGCATGAGAAATCCCGTACATGTGAGTGTCGGGTGCGATGCTTACCTGCAGACAATATGACCTGCTTATCAGCTTTCAACACCCTCCTGTTCCCAGAATTATCGACAACCTCGACGCCCGTCGCCACAACATCCCCTTGGACGTGCTCAAGGATAACTTTGTCGACTACGGTATCGACCACGATATCCACTCGACCTTCGTGCCCTTTCAGGTAGTCGGTGCTGAACGTTCTCACGCCGCCATGCACCGTCCGGGGAACATGGCCACAGGCATGTGCGGCCTGGCCCGTGGTGAACAAGTCATCTACCAGCGGCAAGCCTTTATCCTGCAAGGACTCTAGGACGTGATTGGAGATGGGCGCCAGATCGTGCGGTTCAACATGCAAGGGACCATCCGTGCCGTGGTACGCCTCTGCCGCCTTGAACCAGTCTTTGCCGTGGAACGTCTCTGCGCGTTTCATGTACCGGAACATGTCGTCGCCAGTCCAGCCCTCGAGGCCCCAGTCGTCGTAGTCCGTCTTGCACCCACGGATGCACAGCGTCCCGTTGAACCCGCTGCTCCCGCCCAGGAACTTGCCGCGGTTGAGTTGCAGCACGCGGTTGTCGAGGTGTTCCTGCGGCACGGTCTCCAGGCCCCAGTCCAGCTCGCCGCCCATGGCTTGGAAGAGGCCGCCCACCATGGTGATGAGCGGGTGACCCGTCGAGTCCGGCCCAGCCTCGACCACCAGGATAGAGACATCCGATCTCTCGGAGAGCGCTTCAGCGAGTCTTCCCGCAATCACACACCCAGAGGTGCCGCCCCCGCTGGACGAGAGAGGAAAAAAGATATTAGCTTGTGAGCGAGGGGTGTGCAAAAATAATGTGCTGATCTGGAATATTTTGGTGGCTGATAAAGAGGGGTGGATGTGGAGGGGTCGAAGCATCGAGGCATTGTTGAGTACTCCTTACCAAATGATATAGCTGTATTCTTCCCGGACATCCTCAATGGTCCGAACTGGAGACATTGGACGTCTCGATCAAATATCCGTGGGACTTATCTACTCGAAGTGAAGACCAGGGCAATAGATATATTTTAGTATTATCATCTATTATCTATGAAGAGTGGGACGACCGAGGTCGAAGTCGAGGTTCATGTCTAGAGACAGAGAGGGACAGTGCATAAGGCTAGGCCATGTTGAGAAAGGACAGGGACAAGGACAAGGACAAGGACAACGCATGATGATACTTCGTTACTATAATTTCCTATCTCTGTACATGTATGAACCGTGATCCATCCATCCTTCAATTGTCGTTCCGTTCATACCGACCTCCCCATCGATCAGTCTCTCCGCTACTGAAACGCTGCGTTCTATACTGGGACACTGCCTAACTGGGCACCTAGGTCACCTGGCGAGTCGCTGAGAGTCACGTCTCGGCCCGCTCCGAGGTCTTCAACTCAAAGTCAAGAAATCAAGACGAGAGAAGTGCTTGATTGAGCACCAACGCACATGGCACTCTCGTTGGAAGTTCCAGGGACCACCAGGTAACTCTTGGAAATCCAACATAGTGACGAGCATAGTGAGCATATCGAGCCACTAAGCGATATCATTCCACTCCAAGGCTTGGGCAAGTTTCTATGTTGGCAGCTGGAGATCTATTCCACGCAGTATTGCTCACTCACGGTCGACCAGCGTGATCCACGCACAACTCATGGCTTCGCACACATCAGACGAAGCATTGCTCCCACTGACCTCCCGTCTTTGCGAATCCTAGACTACTCACAAATCTGCTCAGAGAGCAGCGTCCAAGGGCATCACCTCCGCAAGAGGAGAGGGGCTGGACACGGTCGTTCACAATCACACGAATTAGTTCCCCCGAATGCCCCTGACACTGCATTTTCTCGATATACGCTCTAGCAGCAAACGGAACGGTCCAAGCGGCACTGTAACCACCCGCTGCACTAGCCTCCACGACCGTCGTGTTGGGCAATGGTAGCGTGTTGTTATAAAGTCCTAGTGCCGAAAAGATGGCTGTCATATCGTTATCGTGGCTGAAATCCGCATACAGCTGCCGGCCCAAAGGGAACGTGGCGGGATCATCGTCCAGAGTATGGTTCGTAGATGTGTGGTCTTGAACAGAGGTGTTGGTCAGCCGCGCAATGAGCTCGTTGACGAAGCCCACCCCTTGTGTAGGCCCCAGAGGATTGCCATAAGAATAGCCGTAGTATTTGCCCAGTGTCTGATAGTAGCCGTAACTGTGCCATTCGGCTTCGGTAAAGAGGGCACAGAATGGCGAAATGGTGCCGTCATCATTGGCAACGGTGTTGAACGGGCAAAGGTCCATCATGTCCACTGTCTGGTCCATGCTGAGATTGGCGCCGGGCAGACCGGCGTTGAAGCGTGCTTGGATGGGAGGGATGAAGATCTTCGCCCAGGCCTCCTGAGCGTCGTTGCCAATCTCGCTGGCTGTGCCGTTCTCAAATTCCGTGCAGAGAGCATGGTTCAGCGTGTTGTTGAACCCATCACCTTCATACTGCAGGATCATCGGATATGGATAGCCAGAGTCGACATCCGCAGATTTGTCGGCCAGTTTCGAGACGTGGAAGCCCTGTGTCCAATTGAGGGCCGACTCTACCACTCGATTCTCGCTCGAGGAACGGATGAAGGGTTCGAGGGACATTGCAAGCAAGCGATATCGATGATAGAATTTGGTACCCGAATTGACCATCTGCTCCTGACCGAAAGTCGTCAACTGGTCCGCGCCGAGAGTGTACGAATAATTGGCGAGAAACTCATACGCCCCTGTGAAGGTTTTCACGTTGGCATGCACCTGTTTGATGGTGTTGTTGTAGGTCTTGGTCTTTGATGCTGTCGGATCTCGAGCTCCATGGCGGGACAAGATCTGAACGAATGTGACATTGCAGCTATCAGGAACGTCTGTCGAGATATCGGAGGGTACAGTAAAGTAGGGCGAGTACTGGCCCCAATAGTGGGAAATGGTTGGTTGACATTGAAACCCTGTCACGACAGTATCGCATGAATCTGGAGGAGACGAGCTTCCTACTGAGACCCCACTATTTGTTACGAGATGAGCATGTGGGAAACAGTCGACTGCGTCTGAGTTATTGGGAGCTTACCTCCAGCCCAAGAACACAACCACGGTTGCCAACGGTGTCAGTATCATGATGGCGAAAATGAAACCTCGATGGACCCTCCGGGACGAGCGTGTCGGACCAAAGCCATCGTGTCGGAGGGCGGAGAAGTTATATCCCTCTTTCTCAGAGGCGATGCGAGGTAGATCTTCCATGGAGCTGCCAGATCTTGCCTAGGTGGTCTCGCCGTCTCATAGCTCTTCTACCGTGCTTATTGACCTGAAGGATTTAGACGGATGATGATGGAACAGGCGCTGCACTTGAAGAATTGATCAGGCATGATATTTAGGGGCCACGTGTAGGAACGACGCGCCGAGAAGGTTTGGATATGTTCGTGTGCTAGTAGCGACTAACAAGGCACGGGAAGTCAACGCATCAGAAGAAAAACACAGACTGAATAAAGAAGCTTAGGATGAGCTGGAAGCAAGGGCGAAAACATCCATTGACAGCAAGAGAAAATGGTGAGGCTTTGGGTGACGATCAACGTGTTTTGAGGATCTTGGCTTGAAGTCGCAGGTCACCAGGTGCAGTTGGTGCAGTTGGGCATGCGGTCAAGCGGTCCACGTACGTCGTTCATGGCCAAACTGCGCCCAGCCCAGCCCAGCCCAGCGCAGTCTCGTATCTCAACAATGAATTCAATATTGTTCCTATCATAAACCGCCTTGATCGTCTTGTCCTCTAATTTTCATCCATTCCTGCAGTCTACCTTGATGCTTCTATCTAATCAAACACACGAAGAGGGTCCAAGCGCATTCCCTCGAACACACGCAGTTGCTGAGGGATCGCGTCATCTCATCTCACATGCCGCAATCGACCCAAGTCGATCAAATGCTACCATCAACAATCCTTGTCCTTTCTTCCCTTCCAATCTTACAAAGCTTCGCTCGAATCTCTCTAAAGTACCGCTGAGGGCCTTGTCCTGTCAATATCCATAGCCCAGTAGATGTGCTGCTGTTCACACTCATGGTCTCCTTCTGCTCAGTTGTTTCCTCCCTTTAAGCCTCGACAAGTTACCCCCCAGTCTTCGAGCGATACTGACGACTGACAGGAAAATTGATAGCTTACCATCATCCACAGCACACACCTTTTCTATTCCTCCCCGTGTTTTCGAAATGGCGCACGAGGGTTTGATTTTGCTGAACCGGCCTGATAACGTCTTAGAAGTCAAGACGTCGGATGGCCACGGCTACTGCGACAAAGCTGCTGGTCACTGTGGAAACCACAACAACTCCTCGTCTCTGTCTGTTGTACTCGTCGATGATGCCTCAACACTTGATCCTCCAGCTCCACCCAACCTTATACACCCGGGCGGCATACATCAGACAAGCGCCCACCACAGTAAGTACTCCCAGGCATATCTGTGCAACCAGGTACCCGCCTCGCCCTCCCCCGTTTGTCGACAATAACGCCCCTCCAATGGGAGGTCCGGAAAGACCTGCAAAACTGAATAGCGAGAACGCCATGCCCATCCTCACACCATTCTTGCTCAAATCGTTGTTCAAACTCGTCACTGTCGTTGGAAAAAGACACTGAAAGGCTCCCGCTGAGAATCCATAAAACGTTGCAAATACGTACATGCCTGCTTCCGACTTCACTGCGATCCAGCTAAATGCAAAAACCCCGTTGATGAAAAGGAGTGGAACCATCGCGTTCAACGGACCCATGAAACGATCCGCAATGAACCCCGTGACAAGTCGGACGGGTATCGCGGCCCCATTGAAGATGATGAGCAAGGTGAGTGAGTCTTCATAGCTCATATTCAGGACTGTCCGGCCAAAGGAAGCGATGTAATAGTAGGAGAAGAATAATCCTCCAAAGACGAGCGACATGCCCAGGAGGACACAGACATATGGCACTTCACAGAATGCCCTCCATTCGACGATCGGCCCAGATTTCCGCGGAGGCAGTCTCGGCCGCATGCATGCCAGTGCCAACGAAAGCAATCCCAGGTTCACGAAACCGAGCACGCGGACAGTCCATGCATATCCAATCTTTGGGAGGAGCTGGCGCACAAGCACCGGATATATGGCACCGCCCGCCGAGTTCCCAGCCGACACAATGGCAACAGCGAGTCCGCGGTTCTTCCTGAAATACGTCGTCACAAGTCCCATGGTGGGGCAGAAGAATATTCCACTGCCCAGACCAGTACAGAGGCCCTGAGCAAGCAAAAGCTGCCAGAAGTTCTTGCATAGACTCGTCATGAAGATTCCGATGATTTGGACGATTGAACCGATGAGCAAGCTCGGAACGAAGAACCCGGCATCCAGCGCCCGACCGGAGAAGGCGCTCACGAAGAAGACCACCCACAATTGAATGGAACCCACCCAGGAGATGGTCGACTGCGATTCGCCCAAGGTCTCGGTGTAATAGGTTTGAAAGACACCAAATGAATTGATGTAACCCCTGAGAAAGACGTCAGCCATCTGTTCAGGGCAAGGTTCTGATATCCCCCCCCCCCCCCCCAAGGCGTTTCGAAACTCCCACATACCATGTACAAAAGCAGACAATCCACGCCATGGCGACTTGGATCCATGCTTTGAGGCCTCCATCTGGAGGTGGTCCAGGATCGACGATATCTCGAGTGCTGAGACGTGAGGTGATCCTGCTCAGGGCATTGCTGCTGACTTGTTTGAGTTCCGGGTACGATGTCTGTGCCAAATTCTTTTCAACGTCGGGATTGTTCTCTATGACGTCTTTATCGTCCTCCGATATATTCTGGCTCGACATGATTGAGATCTTGATGTCACAAGCATTGGATCTGGTGGTCGCCCCTGGAAAACACTTTACTGTTGAGATTTCTTCCAGGAATCTTGGGAAGATAAGGGAGTCGACGAAAGAACAAGGGGATGACAGCGAGACATTGTTGGCTTGCAGACTGCATCCCCGAAGGGCGCCTGCATCACAAGTTTGTCGACTTTCTGTTGAAGCGGTGGGCTTTTGGGGTAACCCAATCCTTGACCAGTGCCGAATAGCCGACTCCATGGCCAAAATATCCGTTATATGCGGCAAAAACATGATGTAATGCAGGGTATCGGCCGGCACTACAAAGCGCAAAGCTTGTTACAACATCACCACGTGGGCACCATAGATCTGCGTATCGCAGATGTAATGACGGCGACTATTCGCGCACAGAGCTCCGAGCTTGGCAGATCTTTTGTCTGAGAGAACTCCGAAATCTCGAGACGAGATCTCGAGCCGGTGTCGGCCTCGCGCGGGCAGCCAACCAGGGGCTCACGAGGCTTGTTGGTGCGCCGTCTGCATCACAAAAGGGCTGCACCACCAATCCTGTCAGCCCCAATTCCCCAAAGTGTCGGTCTGTAGAATATGCCGACAACCAGATCTGTTGGTTTGGCTGGCTCGGGACGCAATGACCGTGGCTTTGGATCTCCATCACTTGGATGACAAGTGGCGTTGAGCCAGATGTCCAGCATCATCACGACGCGCAGAAAGGAATAAACAAGAGGCCACGATGTTGCCAACGCAATGCATCATTGGTATTAGCGGCGTCGCGGATGGGCGAGCCGCGATGTAAGACTTTAGTTTCTTGAGTCCGCCTTTCTCTTTTTATGACGACCAACCTTTGGACATCTGGACTGCCTTTTCCCACCTCTCGAACATCTCCTTGCTCTTGGCCTCATGCAGCTGTGGTTTGAAGACAGTGCTGCCCTCGACATTGATGTCTTTCAACTCTTCAATGCTGTCCCACACCCCGACAGCCAATCCGGCGGCGATGGCAGCTCCGAGGGCTGTGGTCTCCCGCATCTGCGGTCGCCGCACTGGGATCTGAATCAAATCCGCTTGCGTCTGGACAAATATTAGCACCCATTGACTCCCTCAAGATCTTGGCCGCAACCATGGTGACATACCTGCATGGTTAAATCTGAGTTACTCATGCCACCGTCGACGGCAAGCTCAGCAAGTTTTGCACCCGAGTCCTTCTCCATGGCGTCGAGGATGGCTTTTGTTTGGAAGCATGTTGCCTCGAGAGTGGCGCGTGCAATATGTCCACGCTGCGTGTAGGCTGTTATGCCGTCTGGAGACACAATGGGGATCAGCATTAGACACCAACGAGCAGAGACAGTGACACTTACAGATGGTTCCTCTCGCGTCATCAATCCAGTATGGAGCAAACAATCCGCTGAATGCGGTGACGAAGACACAGCCGCCATTGTCTTCGACAGTGGCAGCCAACTGACTTATCTTACTCGAGGACTCGACAAAGCCAAAATTATCGACCAAGAACTTGACACTGGATCCGGCGACGGCGATACTCCCCTCGAGCGCGTACATGCGCTTGCCCTCTCCAAAGTCGTAGGCCACGGTGCCGAGAAGGCCGTGGGTGGAGAAGACCGGCTTTTCACCGACGTTGTACAGGAGGAAACAGCCGGTCCCGTAGGTATTTTTGGCCAGCCCGGGAGTAAATCCCTTTTGACCGACCAGGGCGGCCGACTGATCGCCCAGACAGCCAGTGATAGGGGTGCCTTTGAGCACACTCAGCTCCAGACGCCCGTATGCCTCGGGATCTGACGACCGAGTGATCTTGGGGAGGTGAATCTTGGACTGGTCCAGCCGGAAGAAATCGATGAGCGACTCGTCGTAGTCTAGGGTCTTGAGGTTCATGAACATGGTCCGCGAGGCATTGGTCGGGTCAGACACGAAGACATTCTTCTTGGGCCCGCCGTTGAGCTTGTAGACGAGCCAGGCGTCGATGGTGCCGAAGGCGAGGATGCCTTTGTCGTAGGCCTCCTTGACCTTGGGCTCGTTGTCGAGCAGCCAGAGGAGCTTGCCCACCGAGGGGTACGTCGACAGGGGAAGACCACAGAGTTCTTGCAGCTGGTCTGACCCCAGTCGATGCTTGAGCTTACGGATGAGGGCCTGGGTACGGGTGTCGGTCCACACGATTGCATTGTACAGCGGCTCGCCCGTCTCGTGGTTCCATACGACCTAGATGCCGAGCAAGAATCGAGTCAACCAATGTTTTCCCCTCGGTCTTTTCTTGGAGACCCAAAGTGCAAGCAAAGTAACGATTGGCTCGCAACCAACCGAAACTGTTGGATAGGATTGACTGGACGAAAGAGGCAGAAGAAGAGGGGTTCATTTCTCTTACCGTTGTCTCACGCTGGTTCGTGATCCCCACGGCTTTGATGCTGGCGCTTGCGTGGCCCTGGTTCTCGAGGTCCTTGACCGCCCCGTCGATGCATTGCTCCACCGACGAAATGATTTCCAGTGGATCGTGCTCGTGCCATCTATATTAATCATATCGGGAACGAGGGAGGGTTAGAAAGTGACTTTGATAAACGAATATACCAGCTTTGCTTTTATACATTCTTTTTTTGGCTTTCTCACACACAAACACCTACGCACACACCGTATTTTTCGTTTTCTGTGAAAAGCCCAGACAGAGAGTAAATAAACTATGAGAAAAGAGAGAGAGAGAAAGAGAAGAAGAGCTAGAAAACGTACCCGGGATGCGGATAGATCTGCTTAAACTCGATCTGATGCGACGCCACCACCTCGCCGTGCCGGTTGAAGACGAGGAACCGCGTGCTCGTGGTGCCCTGGTCGATGGAGCCGACAAAGACCTCGTGCGAGGCCGACGAGGATGACGACTTTGCAGCAGTGTCGCCCATCTTGGATCGGATGGTGGTGAGCATTCGATTACCGACTATCGATTATCGACTACTGGGTACTGAGTACTGAATAAAGGTGTATAGATAGAATCAAGGTAGAACTGATATGGGACCGATAGGACCAGGAGGAGGAGGCTAGTAGTGCTGCTGGATGAGATTGTATGGTGACTGACTGGGTCGTTACCTCGTGAGATTTTTTCTGTAGGAGGGAAGAGAAGCTGTGTGACAGAGCTGTGTAGCTGAGCTCGGTTGGATTGTCTTCTCGTCTTCGTTCGCGGGGCGCTTGTAGTATGGAGAGTGATGAGTTAGTCAAGGATCCGACTTTTTCCCTTTTCGTCGATCAGTCCTATCTCGCGAGAGAAAGAGAGAGGGGGTAGGGAAGAAGCTGTCCTCGGTAGAACTGTTGTTGTTGTTGTTGCTGCTCCCGCTATCACTACCGCTATCTCTGATGACGATGACGATGGTGATGGTGTGAGCGAGATTTGAGTTTCCGAGACTCTCGAAAGCTCGGGCTCGGTGTGTCTAACCCCGAGATACATGCCCCTCGACCAAGTCTGTCCAAGTACAAAGATACAAAGTGAGGAGGCTGGGCATTCACCCACTCATCACTCACCTCACGGAGTACTTGGGCCTGAGAGTGCGGAATCCGGGGAGACCGGCTACCATCAAACCACGCGGGTTTGGGGCGGTGATCAAGGTGTGATGTGTCAAGGATTTGTCCCTTTGTTCTCCAGACAGCCGGGGCCAAAACCGTGCAATGCAATCCACCGCCCCTCTATTTCCTTTGATTCTCTGCTGCCCTGGCTGCTCAACGTGCTCGACTCAATCAGCAACATGCCGATCCAGGTTCGAGATGCACGGTACAAGGGAGGACCCCTAGCGCTGTCTTGGGGAGAAAAACGGCCATCACGGGAGAGGACAAAGGCGGGGGCCCCATCAAAAGGGCTTGCATGGCGGCGTCAATCCCGTCCACTAGAATACCAACTAACGCACGTCAGGCCAACCACCTACGCAGATACGAACATGATGGAACATGAAGAGGGGGTGTTTTGGACAGGGAGGCTGGTCCCATCTCCTCTTCCACCAAGCATCACGAGTGCAACATCAGCTTCGGTAGCGCAAATCAGGCCCAATGCCAATTCTCCGGAGAGCACGCTCACCACAAAAATTCTCATCCAGGCGGCAGCTCTCGGCAGCTGTGCGGAGGCTGAGCTGAGCAAGCAAGCAAACAGCAACATCAGAAAAAGCGTATAACAAGGGAATACGAAGCAATCGCGGTGCGGCTTGCGAGACACGGTGGCGTTTCTCGGCGCTCAAAGGCACAAATGAGGAGGCGCATCCACTCTCCATCCACCAGTACAAGGAGTATTTTCTGCGGGGTAAAGAGATGAGTTGGTTGGTCAACATGCTGAAGAAGACAAGGACATGGCAGCCACGAGGAGCGCGCTCTCTGGCCGCCTCTTGCAGGTTTTCTCTCGGGAGATTTTGTATAGCCGACATCACGATCCAGTCCGTTCATGCACGGAGATGTTGCCACGTTCACACACGACGAGAGCCGGATAGTCTCCTGGCGTACATTCAACAAGACCAGGGCGAGGACAGAAGTGAAGAGATGCAGAGGGCGACCGTGGTGGTTGGTTTCTTAATAGGGGAGATCTAGATCTACCGACCATAGTTAGCATCTAGGACCAAAGGAAACCCTGCTACCCCGGCAGTGGCTTGTGGTCTAATTTCTATCCCAAACAGCCAGTGAAAAGGAGAAATGACGAGGGAAATATCTGGAGTTGGGTTAGGGAGATACGAAAGGTACCGAATAGTGAGGACAGGATGATTGGCCTGGTTTTTAATCTGCTGATGATGGTGATGATGGTGCTCTGAGTTGGCGATGATTAATCATAGGACAAGGCTATTGTACGGCATCCACTTGTACGAGTGATTTGAGCAAGCAGTTCCCAAAGGAGAGTAAGAGAGGGGGCGTGCAGGCAGATGAAAACAGATGAAGAGAACTGGATGAGGCATTACAAGTAGGCGAATAAGAGAGACAGACTGTGTCAGTCTCGGTCAGACTTGGCCCGAGCTACTCGTTGGTGCTTTTCTTGCCTTATATACGCATCGTAGATGGCGTCATTTGATCCGTCAGTCATTGTGTCAGACACTCCGTCAGACAGTGTCATTTACTCAACTCTCTCCCTCGCTCCCTCATACCCAGCTCCCCTCTTCTGCCTCTCTCTATCTGTCTGCGTACAGAGATACCCAGCACGGAAAGTATCTTACGAAATCTTACCACCCCTGGTTGCCACAGTCTCCAGCACCGGCAGTACGCAACCTATCGAGCCATCCAAGGCCCATCAGGGACTTTGTGGTCTTGATGCATGATCGAAAACGGAAACAAAAACCTCGTCACACACCATCACACCTGACCCCCCTGCCTAGCCCTAAGCCGTCGTCGTCCTCCTCTTCTCGCCACGGTCATCCAAAACGTCCCATCCACAAGGCTCCCCGTACTCTCCAGATTCCCACACAAGTTGCTGACCTCTTCCCCTTCAGTCCAAGCTCGCCCTCGCCTTCGGGCTTCCTGGACCCGAGATCCATCACCTCACCTTTTCCATTCGTGCGTGATACATGCTTCTTGGTATCTGATCATCTCCACCTGGCTGGTTCCGTCCTGCATGCAACCTCGCCTCTCAATAGCAAACCAAAGAGCTCGTCATGACTGGTTGGTACCCGCCCGCCTCCGAGCTTCGACCTGGGTGCGGCGATGCACAATGCGGTTCCCACCCCCGGTTCGTGACCAACCCAATGGGGCCCCAAAGGCAAGGTCAAAAGGAAAAGTTGATAAGACTCTGGCCTGCCTCGCTCCTCGGGAGCTGACTCTCAGATGGCTCCTCCTGACCACAGCCAGTCCCTGCCGCTTTCTCTTCCTGTGATCTCGCCCACAGCCAAGGACGCCGACACCATGGCCCTCGAGAAGGAATCCCTCTCATCTACCCCTCCTGCCACCCACAACGAGCATGGCATATTCCACCATCCCCATGAATACCGCCATACCACCGTCGACGGCCAGCCGGCCTACGCGGAACATGGTCCTCTCGTCGACCACAAAGTCCCTCAGGAGGATGTCGTCCAGTCCGAACCTGACCTAGTGTGGAGCCGGATTCGCCACTGGATGCGCGAACCGCTGTCCGAGTTCTTTGGCGTCTTTATCCTGATTCTCTTTGGCGACGGCGTCGTGGCTCAAGTCGTACTCAGTGGCGGGACCAAGGGTGACTACCAGTCGATCTCCTGGGGCTGGGGGTGAGTTAACATCCACATTGTCAGAGTCAACTTTCGCTGATTCTTGTACAGGTTGGGTGTCATGTTGGGAGTGTATACCGCGGGCATCTCAGGAGCACATTTAAATCCCGCCGTCACATTTGCAAACTGCGTATTTCGCAAGTTTCCCTGGCGAAAGTTTCCCATCTACATGGTTGCCCAGACGTTAGGAGCCCTATGTGCCTCGGGCGTGGTCTACGCCAATTACAAATCGGCTATCGACGTCTTCGAAGGTGGCCCCAATATTCGAACCGTCCCGGGCTATTCAGACACTGCATCGGCGGGGATCTTTTGCACTTACCCGGCGCCGTTCATGACCAAGACCGGACAGTTCTTCTCCGAGTTCATCGCCAGCGGCATCCTCATGTTCATGATCTACGCGCTTAAGGACGATGGTAATCTCGGGGCTGGGAATCTGACGCCGCTGGGCCTGTTCTTTGTCATCTTTGGGATCGGCGCTTGCTTGTAAGTTGTGCTGGACCGCGTGTGCACGGCAACCAAAACTAACTCTCCCTGCCAACAGTGGCTGGGAAACGGGCTATGCCATCAATCTAGCTCGAGACTTTGGCCCGAGATTGATGTCATACATGCTTGGGTACGGTCCAGAAGTGTGGCGAGCCGGCGATTATTACTTCTGGGTAAGTCGAAACACTGCCACCCTGAATTGACGCGTACGTTGACGGTCTCCATAGGTACCGATGGTCTCGCCTTTCTTCGGATGCACATTCGGTGGCTGGCTATACGACATGTTTCTGTTCACCGGCGAATCTCCCATCAACACGCCGGTTGTGGGATTGGCTAGATTTCTCAAGCCGAATCGGGCGACATGGTCCAACACCTATGTCCCGCAAGAGGGTTCGAAGGTCTAGACAATCTCCGACCGCAACTGACTGTCAACTTCAGTATTGACCACGGACTCACAACTCAAAACCACTCCGAAACACAACAGCAGAGACTTTGGACACGTACATGACGAGGCTTAAGAGATGGCCGGAAGACAACAAAAGCAAGAGGCGGTCAGATAAAACCGGGACCCATACTCCAGACAGATGTATTTCTAGGTGTTTTGATGACGTTTACGAAGGGTTATGGAAACAAAATAATCAATATGTGGTTGTATACTTTGTGATTTTCATTGCTCTTCCAGACACGACAATTTCAGCCTCGGACTTTGGCTGGGCGCGTCCTTCCTGCCACTTTGGGACTAGCGTTTAATTTCCAGCCAAACTCTATTTGAGCTCCAGCTTCTTCTCAATTTTGCGTCTTCCAAACAGACCATGTCACCACCCTGCTCCATCCTCCCTCTTGGGCGAAAAACATCCTCGCGCGATGTAAGATTGCGCTGATGACAAAGGCCAGTATACGAAGTGCCCGACCAAGTCCCGACCTGGCCCGAGATGCCTCGTGTTACACCTCGAGCAAGTCCCAAGCCAATTTGCCGGAGCCCGCACTGAAAAATAGCTCTCACTGGGGCATTTTACGTGTATTCTCGGTCTGGAATGCTCTGGTAGAGAAAAAAAAGTCTCTGATAAGACATGGGTCAAGATGCGACGAGTGTTTCAACCCCGGCTATCGGTGACACGGCCGCCACCTAAGATACTGAGGAAGAGAGAGTGAGATTCTCGCCGAGCCACTTTACGAGTTAGTTGAGGGAATACGAGGCGGCTCGAGACACCCTGCCTCGACTCGAGCTGGTCTACAGAATACAAGCGCGCTTTATCTCGAGCCCGCCGATTGCGACGTCGCTATGCCATTGGCCGAGCGACCTGCCATGCGAACCTAGCGCCATCGTGCTCTCGTGCTGATGCGAGTCTGGCCTCGCTTTCTGACCTTAGCGTCGATCCCCCGGCCTCTCGCCAATCTTCAAGGTTTTGTGCCTGGCAGGTTTCCCAGCCTCCACGAGGCAACCCGCCAGGACGGGCTCCCAGGGCTGAGCAGGACCAACAGTGTCGTTGCCAGGACATCAACCTCTCCACTTCTATACCTGTTGTCTGCCCTTGTTGGTCAATCTGCTCTTCCTCGTCTTCCCGAACCCACATCTCTCAGGGCTGGTAAGGTCGACAAAAGCCTCCCCCAGCACGCCGATTTCTGCTCCTTACTCCATCTTTGCCTGCGCTTCGCCTTTCTTCCCCAGCCTCGCTCGTTATACTGCTCGTTTTGAAGATGGAAGCACCATTATATAACGGCGCTGTTTGTTTGGTTCAGTATGGCAGTCCTCATTCCATTCTTCCAAGAAGACATCACTCGATTTCGCGTTGCCCACACGAAATCGATCTTTCAAAATGCACGTTTCAGTCACTACCCTTGCCATTCTGGCATCAGCTGCTTCCGCGGCATACGTTCTAGAAGATGACTATACCTCCTCGTCCTTTGCAAACATGTTTGATTTCTTTACGGTACGGTAATTTGGCTCCCTTTCGAGACCAGCAAAGTGCTAACATTGGGCAAAGGGCAACGATCCGACGAACGGCTATGTTAACTACATATCCTACGATCAAGCACAGAGCTCTGGCCTCTACAAAATTGACAACGGGCGCGTCTACATGGGCGTCGATTCCACCAATGTGGCCTCCGGCCGTGGTCGCGACAGTATCCGAATAAGCACCAAGAAATCGTACAACCACGGCCTCGTTATCCTCGATCTTGCACATATGCCAGCGGGCGCATGTGGCACTTGGCCCGCGTTCTGGATGCTGGGTCCGGACTGGCCGAACAATGGAGAGGTTGATATCATCGAGGGAGTTAACAGCCAATCTTCCAACAACATGGCAATGCACACGGACGCAGGATGCACAATCACGAACACAGGAGCTTTCTCTGGGACACTGGAGACTGATGACTGTGATACTGCTGCTCCTGATCAGCCCAGCAATGCCGGTTGTTCGATGCGCAGCCAAGACACGACTAGCTACGGCAACGGGTTCAACTCCAACGGCGGCGGTGTCTATGCGACCGAATGGACAAGCGAGGCCATCAGCATCTGGTTCTTCCCCCGGAACGCCATCCCCTCCGATATCACAAGTGGAAACCCCGACCCATCAGGCTGGGGTCTCCCTCAAGGCCAGTTTACTGGTGGTTGTGACATTGACGACAAGGTCAAGAACCAACAGTTGGTCTTTGACGTCACCTTCTGCGGCGACTGGGCTGGCCAGGTGTGGTCGACCGACGCAGTCTGCTCGCCGAAAGCCGCCACTTGCCAGGACTACGTTCAAAACAACCCCTCAGCCTTCCAGGATACGTACTGGCTCATCGACAGTTTGCGAGTATATACCGACAATGGCTCTGGCGCACCAGCTCCAACATCCAGTTCAACCACCGTTTCAGCAAGCCTGTCGACCACTCCCACCGTACCCACCACAACGCTCCTTACTTCCACTTCCTCCAATGTACCAGCGACCTCGACACGAAGTGTGGAACCAACCTTCCCCTCGACTACTCCGGCCTTTACTCCTACAACTACTCCAACTTCTACCCCTACGACTGCCCCGACTTCTCTGCCCACCTCTCTCGTCACCTCTGCCCCATCCGCGTCTTCTCCATGGCCCTCATCGGCAGCCTGGGATGGCACACCGTGGAATTCCGCAAACGGTGGATGGAACGGCGGCAACCGGGGCGGCGACGATGGCGGGTCAGACAACTGGGGTGGCTGGAACGACGGAGGCAACGGTGCCGGTCGGGGAAACCGTCGCGGCAACCCCTGGAAGTCATGATCTGATCCACGACGCACGACTATTATTACGCAGCAATTTTTCACACCAACAAAAGAGCGATACGCAGCACCACGTTTACGACGCAACGATTTACAGCATATGACAGAACCACATACATGGGGCACCGGCAACGGCAACGGCAACGGGAACGGGGACGGCAATTGAAATGGGAATGGGAACTGGAAAGAAAAAAAAATTGGGGGTGGGACTACGGAAAAGCCAATAATGGCTCTTTATGACCAGGAATATAATGGATAAACAGGACCCAAATCGGACAGGACGGGACAGCACAGCATCAAGATACCCCGTGGGAAAAGAGGGAAAGAAACGACTATGGAAAACGTTTCGGAGGTCACTGCCGGCGCCGGCGCACTGGGATAGACATACACATATGACAAACATACCTCGACAGGATGAGGTGCCTTGTCGGGGTTGGGAACGGCTTTTGAGCGCGTGATTATTGATATTGAGCATAGTTTTGCGAGGCTAGCCAGAATGGCGATTTCAATGGAGACTAGACTATATCATATTATATCATATTATATTATACATATATGTATATGTATATACTCGTTATCCGAGGACTTCTCTCTCTCGCGCGCGCGCGCTATATCGAGGCATACACGTACTTACTTATACTTGCTGACATGACTTGACATCACATGACTGCTCAAAGCTATTCAAAGCTATTCACTTGGGTAGGTATTTATCCTCCACTTCATCCTCTTCCTCGTATGGATACATAGTCTACAGTGTAATGCAACGCAGGCTATATTTAAATATACACACAGTCAAAGATCAAGCCTCGGCCTGTCGTGGTGGAGAGATTTTTTGATCTGGATTCTTTCTTTCTTTTTCTTCTTCCGATCTTCACGGGTCTTGTCTATTTCCTTTTTTTTTTTTTTTTTGACGACTCAAACACAACGACTTTCTCGTGAGATCCGCGTTGCATTACATACATACATACATACATACATACATACTGCCTGTCAGACAGCAGAAGATTGATTTGTGGGCAGAGTGAAAATCCCCTCAAACCCGTCCATAGCAGCTACATATACATCTCACCGTGATCATTAGGGGACAAACCCCTTCAGTCCATCACGGAATAACGGGGGCGTCGACCCCAAACCAATTCCAGCCTTGATCCAGGTCCACTCCGCTCTGGCCGAACGGGAAAGTGCCGAATGAATACCCGGGAGTCACCATCCCACCGAGGCCACCTCCAGCAGCTGGAGCATTCAAGTCATTCTGTGGCGTCGTGTTCGAATTGTATGGGCTCTGACTTTGTAGAGAGTGCGATGGTTGTGGGGTGAAGCCCGATCCGCCGGACGAAATGCTGACACTCCCTGCTGAAGGGAGGTCTGTAGGCTGTTGAGGTGGAAATGCCATGAACGAGTCAAACGTGATAAATGGATCATCGGCTGTCTCAGGCCAGGCTTGATCAAGGCCCGGGGCAATGTAGTTCGTCGACTCATAAAGAGGAGCCCGTCGGGTCTGGGAAAATTGCGAATGCTGCTGGTCGATCGTCGTTGACAAGGGTGAGGGTTGGGTGCTGTTTGAAGCAGCTGATGGCGGAGTCGGCAATCCCGTGTTGGTGGGCACACCGGCCGCTGGAGCGGACGTGTTCAAGGGCGCATCCCGTGTGCGTTGTGCGTATGTGCCGGGTTTAATGGGGACAAAATGCTTGCCCATGCCAATGGAGATGTTGCCAAAGTAGGGGATCGAGACTTGACAGGTCTCCCCCCTGCATTCTTTGACGCCTTCCATATCACAGCCCTGCCGTACACGAGCAAGCATTTCGAGGGCTTGGGCGCTTTGAGCAGCCACAACACCACCCGGTTCTTTGGCCGCGTCTTTCAACAATGCTATTGTTTCGTCAATGAGGTCCGAGTCGATCTGGTCTTGCTCGAGGTCCATCTGCCGAGCATTGCTGCCACGGTGTTGCTGCGAGTAACCACACAGGTTCAGCAGTAACAGCATGGACCCAGTAAAAGCTTGAAAATCAATCAATTTGCAAATGAACGGGCCCACGGCCTTGTTGGTCCGGAGTGCCTTGTAGACTCGGATCATTTCGCGTGAAGCGTCCAAGGCTGCGGTGTGAGAGTATTGATATCTCTTGTCGGTCGATGACCGGAGCATGAATGGCAAATGCAGCA